CCCATCCTCATCACCTGATCGCTGGATACACTGCAGTTGGGAAGATGACTCCTAAGACTGTGTCTTCTGTGTGAAACATATCACAGCCTGCTGGGATGACTCAGTGATCAGAACGGTAACGTCCCTCCCATGATCTGAACACTTTACTCAGTTAACACAACTGAACACTACAGGCGTCTCTTCGCAGGTCCATTACTTTGTAGCCATAATGCCTTTGAGGTCAACTAAAACTGAACCGGCCACACAAAATTCCAGTTAAGCCCGATTTCCTCCAGCTTGAACTCAGGCAGTTGCATCCTTGAACCAAGGAATACACTTTCTCTGTGCTGTCATCCACGCCGACAGGAAATACACTGAGCAGCACGGGAATGGAGGCAGGTCCTGAGGCACAAGGCATGCTCACGTCCATTTATCGATCAGTCTGCTTCTCCGGCCAGCTGTAAGCCCACCACCCCTTTCCATTTCTCCATTTCATTCCAAAAACAGTGTGAGATTTTGCCAGCCGCCCCGTGCTGTGGGGATGTGCTCTGTTTATGGCCGTGAGTCACGGCCAGTGGAAACTCCTAGGACATTTTCCAAGTGTACTTACCACCCAGAGCATCCGGCCCACCTCCCGACGCACGGGGACAGGGCCTCGCGGAGAATTACAGAGGCAGGAGGGACATCACTGAGCAGGCCGCCCTCCTGAATGACGAGGAGGCAGACTGAAAGGTTGGGAACTCCTGGCCACAGTGTCCCCTGAAGACAGCTCGAGAACTCGGCAGGATTTGCTCCCTGTGAACCCACATGGGATCCCGGCAATCAGCCTTCTTTTCCAGGGGCTGACAGCACCTGCTGACAAATTCTTCCTGGAATTCAGAATGCCGCGCCCAGCCTGCATGCCCTGGCTTTCTGGGCCTGTTCTGTGGAAAGTGGAGTCCGTGCCCCTTCCCCATCTTAGGCACTTCCCTTTCTGTGCCTGCTGTCTCAGGACCACTCCCCCGGGCTTGGGAACCTCATCCAGCTTCCTTTAGTCCTGGACTCGTCCCCTGGGGCCTGAGGCCAGTCCCCCGTGTGATGTACCTCTGCTGGGCTTGGTGCCCTCTCCGTAGTGTCGGTCTTGTCCTTCCCAAGTTACCTCGATTTGAATTCCATCTCTGCTGCTTACCCCATGTGTACACGTGGAGCAAGTTTCTCACGTGAAATGTGGGATAAGTGCAGTCCTGGTCTCTGGGGGTGGGGCGGGGGGAGGGAGCGGGGTCTGAGAAAACTAAAGGAGTTAGTATGCATAACACCCTTAGAAGAGTAAGTGCCGGGTGCCAGTCAGCTCTCCACGTAGATCCTCCAGTAATAATGTCGTTTCGTTATCACGTTGATGGATGTGGGAGGAACTTGTGTGTATCCATTCGCCTAGGGGGAAATTGGCTTGGTTATGTGTCCTATTGCTCAAAGTCGCAGAACCTGCGGATGACGTTAAGTGAGGACTGATTATATTGTTGCTATTGTGCTTGCTGGGGAGGGTGGAGGCAAATTGGAAATTGCTCAGCTTTGCCTGCTGGCTCCTGTCCAGTCTTCCTGCAACCTCTTTCCCAAACAGCAGACCTTCGTCATTTTTCTCTTTTTGCTCTGGTCATGGATTAAAAGCCCTTGTTGGCCGCCTTAAGCTCTCTCTGTACAGTGTGTGCCCCTCTTTAATAGTCACTTTTGCGTACAATCCTTCCTTCCCTTCTTTTGTACCCTTCCCTGTCCAAGTCTGAGCATACCACAGGGCCACTGTGCAGCCGCGGGTGTCTTTTCTTCCTCATGGGTTCACTTCTTTCTAAAAATCTTCAGTTTCAGCCCGGGCTGGTGTGGCTCATGGTTGAGCATCAACCCATGAACCAAGAGGTCACAGGTTCTATTCCTCGATTTCCGGTCAGGGCACATGCCCCCAGTAGAGGGCATGCAGGAGGCAGCCCATCAATGATTCTCTCTCATCATTGATGTTTCTCTCTCTCTCTCCCCCTTCCTTTCTGAAATCAATAAAAATATATTTAAAAAAAAAAAATAAATAAAAATCCAGTTTCTTTCGTTGAGTCTCCTGTTTCTCTGGAGTCAGATTCATGGTCAGGGCAGTGCCACCAGGGCCGGAGCCAGAAGGCCTGGGCTCAAGTCAGTCCTGCCTATCTCTGGCTGTGTGACCTCGGAGAGTTGCCTAATTCTCTCAGCCTCCATACTTCTTGGTATGTCCAGGAGAACTAAATGAAATATTGCCTCTAGAGCTACACATCATATGCATATAAGTGGCAGTGATGTTGGCTAGTGACTGTTACTATTATTATCTGGCTACATATGCACCTTGACCTTCTGCTCTAAAATTTTGGAAACCTGTCTTAAAGACTGAATTGTGTACCTCACCTTCCTCTTCCATTTCCTTCCCCAGGTTGGAGACGGGAAATGGTCTTACTCTCACCCTTACCGTGGTTACTGTTGCTACCAACAACAGTCACAATTTGTGTTCCGTGAGCACCTACTATGTGTCCACACTGTTCGGAGAGCATGCCATGCTGTGTCTCTTCTAATCCTCATGACGCCTTAAAAGGAACTCAGCATTTTCTTTTTAATTCCGAGGTTGCTGATGCTTCCATTTTATTTATATTTATAAACCGAGTGTCTCCAGGATGACAATCACCAAATAGAAGCAGGTTGAATTCCCACCTTAAGTGACTGCAGGAGTGTTGCCTCAGCGCCTCTGGTGACCCTCCCGGAGTTTGTGAGACCCTCAGCTTGCTGCCACCTTGATGCAGCGTCACCCCCTCGCAGACTTTAGTTCCCCTCATCCCGGGCCCGTGCAAGCCCCAGCGCTGGGAGCTGTCACCTTTACACTCTTTATCAAAGTCAGACCATATAATAAATGCACAAGGGAAGAAATAGTACATATTTTTCAAAGGTCAATCTCAGAAGTTATCAAAGAAATGCAAATGAAAACAAGTTCCATTTTCCACATGAAATTGGCAAAAAGGCAAGTAATTAGATATTCAATAACTGGCAAAGAAGTGGTCGAAGTGGCCACTGTCACCTTCCCCTCGCGAGAGGGTAAGTAAATATTCATATGCAACATATAAAGGTTATGCTTTACTCGTTGAGCCAGTAATTCAATTCCTAGGAAAATATGCTAAGGAAATCACTGAAGCTGCACCAATAAATTAATATACAAAGATAGTCATTGCAGCATTACTTTCCATATTAAAAAATGGCAAATGACTTAAATGTCCAACAATAGAAGATTGGTTAAGTAAATTATGGGGCAGCAAGTGAAAAATACTTGAACACCATGGGAACTAAGAAGCTATAATGTTGAGTGGAGAAATTAAGAAACAAAAGCACACGCTAGAATGATCATAAATAGTGTTTGGAATTGAAATAAAATGGAGAGGCCAAAGGCCTCAGGTCAATTTTGAGTGGTAACAGATAATTTTTATTTCCCTCTTTATCATTTCTCTTATTTTCCAAATTTGCTATAAAGACTATTACTTTTTATAATTAGAAAAATACACATATGCATATTTAAGTTTAATTATATATCTCTGTCTATATATCTTTGTATACATGCACATATGCTTATGTTTGTCCTAATGCTTTCTCTCCATCCCAAGAAATGAAGCTGCTCTCCAGATAAAACATGTAAAGGAAATTCCAGGTAAGCATGTGCCAGGTAAGGGAACCTCCGCTTCCCTCCCCCACCTTCCCAGGCAGAGACTCATCAACTCAGGAGTCAGAGCTGGAAGAAACCTCAACGCTAGATCAAGGGTACTTGACCGCTTGACCCATGGACCCCTCGGCTGTAGGTGAAGCCTACAGGATTTCTTCCCAGAATGCCCATTTTCCATGCATAAAAGGTAACACAGGATTTCAAAGAAACCCTGAATTCCTTGAGTGGTAAGATTCTAGGCCGTGTCCCTCATGTGTAGCACAAACGAGGCACAGACTGAGAAGGGAGCTCCTGTGGAGTCAGACCTCCAGCCCCTTGGGTTGTGCCCATCATGCTGTGAGCTCCTCCCTTCCTCTGAATGGCTCAGGCAATTCTGTGCAGCCTTTTGGTCCCTTCGTTCCAGGCCTGGGCAATGGCCCCTAGATTCTCACAGCCAATTTACAAGGGCAACATCATTGTCTCCATTTCCAGGTGAGGAGACTGACACCAGAGAGGTCAGTACAGGTGGGCAGGATTCTCTCGGTGTCACGTGACCTGCTCTAGCCAATCAAAGCTCACCAGGACTTCAGTGGGACAAACTGAGAAAAAGGCATGAATCCTTCTACTGCTTAGGGAAAGCGGCTGCCTGCTGGTGAAGCCAACCCAGAAAGTGGAACTTAGGGGAGGGAAGGAACTCTGAGAATGCAGATGGTTGTGGGGCTTTTGGTCTACCTGAGCCTGAAGCAACATGACCCAACACATAGCTTTTTTCTTTTAAAGCCTGTTTGACTTGGGTTCGATTACCTGCAACCAAGTGTCCAGACTAAGTTATGTATGGATTACCCCCATTTTCCAGATGAGGAAAGCTGAGGCAGCTCAGGAGAATTGCATAGCTAGCAAGTGTCCAGGCCATGAATTCTACCCATCCTGACCTCAAAGCCTTAGTCACGACTTCATCTGAGTCCAGGTGAGGCCAGACCTGCTCCTCCTTGGAGGAGTCAGATCGTTCACCAAGAGGCCCCTCATTGTTCTTGCATGTCCTCCAGCTGTGCCTAAAACTAGAAAGTTCTGAGGCTCACAGCCATATGACCACCGACCCCTGCCACCCCCCTAGGGGGCCTGGTTCTCCTACACACACATCTCCTGGGGCTGCCCATGTGGGTTCCTCTCTTCTTCAATGCGCAGATGATGTTCTTTTATCTCTTCTTACCCGCACGAAAGGCACGGTTTGCCCATGATCCCCTCAGGCACCTTTGGGGAGGAGGGCTTCAGGTGGAACAGCTCAAAGCCCTGCCATCACCCCCTCCTCCCCCAGCCAGACCCCTCCCTGCCTCGCGCAGCCCTGGCTCACCTGTAAATCAGTACCTCATCGTCGGAGCAGTTGTACTGCAGCTGATACATCTTCACCCGGGGCGCTGACTTGCTGACCGACCACTTGACCAGGGCCGAGGTAGTGGTCACATCAGACACAAGCACAGCCCGTTCTGGGGGGCTCTTGGGAGGCTCCCCACCCTCGCTGCCTGCCCCTCCCCGGCTGGTCTTGCTGGAGCCAGTGATGTCCGAGAGGCGGGACTTGGGGGGCGCCGTGCGGCTGGTGCTGTTGCTGAGGTGTGGCAGCTGGACGATGGAGACCTCCACCGTGGCCGTGGCCTCCCCGGCGGCATTGGCGGCGATGCAGGTGAAGGCACCGCTGTCCTGAGACGTGGTGATGAGGATGTCCAGGGTGCCGTTGTCGTACACAGCGGTCCTTGAGGAGTTCCCCACCAGGCGGTCATCCGGGGCCACCCAGTGGATGAGGGGGCTGGGGTCCCCAATGGCCTTGCACTTGAGTGTGGCCGCCTGGCCCTCCAGAACCAACAGCCTGTGCGTGTGCTGGGTGATGAGAGGCGGCTCGCACACAAACTCCTCCTCGCGCACGTGCCAGAAGTAGCGGCCCTTGAGGCCCCCCGGGGAGCCACAGGTCTCCAGGTCATCGTCCCGCTCCAGCCTCCGCAGCCAGAGGAGCTCACAGTTGCAGTGCAGGGGGTTCCCCCCGAAACTGAAGGACAAGGGTGGGGCGAAGGGCGTGGCGGCCAGCACGGAGGCCTGGGAGCGGGCGAAGATGGGGTCCGGGGGCAGCTTCTGCAGCCGGTTGGAGGTGAGGTCCAGTCGGGCCAGCTTCTGCAGGTCGGCGAAGGTGCCCTCGGCGATGTGGTCCAGCAGGTTGTGGTCCAGGCTCAGCTGGTGCAGGTTGACCATGCGGCGCACGGAGCCCCAGGGCAGGCCGTGGAGGTTGTTGTAGGAGAGGTCCAGGTCCTCCAGCGTCAGCAGGAAGTCCTCGAAGGCCTCGTCGGCGACGCCGCCCAGCTGGTTGTTGTTCACGATGAGGTGCTGCAGGTTGACCAGGCCGCGCAGCGTGTCCTCCCCGAGGCTGGGCAGCCGGTTGCTGTCGAGGTGCAGGGAGCGGAGGCTCTCGAGGTCCAGGAAGGAGAAGGGCTGGATGTGGCTGATGGTGTTCCTGGACAGGGTCAGGTCCACCAGCCCCGTCATGTTGGCGAAGTCCTGGCGGCCGATGTGGATGATGAAGTTGCCGCCCAGGCGCAGCTCCACCGTCCTCCGGTCGATGTCCGGGGGCACGAAGAGCAGCCCCTTGGACGGGCACAGGGTCCCCAGCGACTCAGACAGGTTCTGGCAGACGCAGTACTTGGGGCAGGCGTCGACCACGGCAAACGCCATGCCAAACGCCAGCAGGCCACCAAGCAGGGTCTCCATGGTCTGGTCACTCAGGCTGCAGCGCCTGGAAGGGAGGGACACAGGTCAGGGTCAAAAGGTGACTTCCCAAGGCCCCCGTCCAGAGCTTCCTCCCTCCCATGACCGTGGCCTTGGGGAGCAGCCATGAATGGCATCTGCTCATTGCAAGCTGCAATCTCTCCCACCAACCCCCCTAATACAGTTCTACTTTTTCTTCTTTCCCTAGCTCTTATCACCTTCTAACAGACTGCTGCATTTACTTATTAGCTGTGGCCATGGGATGCTTCCTCTCTCCCCAGTAGGATGTCAGCTCCAAGAGGGCAGGTCCTCTCGTCTTCTTTGAACATTGCTACATCCCACGCATCTAGCACAGGGCCTGGGGCACAGTAGCTGCTCAATACATATTTTTAAGATGGGTGGGTGGATGGATAATCTCACACTAGTGGTTCCTTTGTGATGACTGGGTTTGAAAAGTGTGTTATGGCTGTGCTTTGAAGCAGTTTCACCTTCTTAATTGGTTTAGACTGGGCATGAAATGAAATAGGACCAGCATTCCTTACGAACAAGGATGCGGGCCAGGAGAGAGTTGGCTCTGAGAGACACCACGGTTAGTCGGGAACCAGCTTTGGATAAATGCTTCACCATGGAGAACCCAGAGGGCACATGCCTCTTTGGGAGCTCAGGGAAGTAGAGAAGGTGGTGGGACATGAACTTCTGAGTATTCACAGGTGCTGGGTCCTCTGCCCGGAACTTCAGACATGTCATCTTATCTGGGCTTCAGGTACAGCCTTCACAGGAAGGGCTTATCTGTGTGTAGGTGAGGACTTGTCCATGGCCTCATGCTCAGGTCTTTACTCAAAAGTCACCTCCTCCCCCAGGCCCCACCGGACTGTGCATTCCCCTCTTCCCTGTTTAGTGTTTTCTCCTTGAAATTGACCGCTACCTAACTACTGTATATATTTTACCTCCTTGTCTTATTTATTGTTTCTTTTTCCATTTTACTTTTAACTTATCTTTATGTATTTTTTTGGTGTTGCAGCATAGTTTGTAAGTGGCAAACACTGGAAACAACCTAAATGTCTACACATAGGAAAGTGATGGAATAAATGATGCCGCATCAGCACAATGGAGTGTTATACTGCTGGAAGAAAGAACGAGGAAGATCTCTGTGAACTGATGAGGGGTGATTTCCGTCACATGCTACCCAAGTGGAAGAAAGCCAACTTCACGGGGGCACATCCAGAATGACAGAGTAAGGGCTTCTATCTTTCCATTAGAGTTCGAATACAATATTGTATTAGTTTCAGGTGTACAACCTAGAGATTAGGCATTTATATACCTCACGGAGGGATCCCCCTGGTAAGTGTAGTGCCCATCTGCCACCATGCATAGTTATTACAATATCACTGACTCGGTTCCCTATGCTGTACCCCGGCATCCTATTGTTTGTCTTCTGTACCAGCAACAAAGCCCCAAGAGGTTGGGACTTGTTTTCATTCACCGTTCTATTCTCAAAGTCTAAAGCACCCCCTGACACATAGGAGGTGTTTTCACATGAAGGAATATCTGGAAAGGGAAGGAGCAGGAATTTGGCTTGTGTCCTTGTGCCTCTAATCTGACAGTTTTCTCACTATCCATGCTGGACTGACCGTGGCTCTATTTATAGAGTGCCAAGACTCACATCAATTGAGTTGAACTTTTGGAAAATCACACACTCTGGTTATGTAGCATCACGCAGACCAGCAGCTCTCAAACTGCCTTCTAGGGGTGCTAGTCAGAGGCCTGCAGAAGAGGCTTCTGAGGCCGGGGAGCTGGGGAAGCGCTGCCTGCTCTCACTCACTCTTGCAAAAGCTCTAGACGCATGGTCAGTTCAGAAAGGCTGAGAAATTCTGTTGCAGGAGAGAAACTGGGTTAATGTTTAATTCTGCATTGACTCCCTTTTGCTGTTTTAGCTGAAGATGCTCGCTTTCCTGAGCAGCAGCTATTAATATCTTGAGGAAGTAGAGCCCCATAGCTCCCACGTTTGAGCCACACAGATACAGACAAAACAACCAGCTAATAAAACGAAGGTATGTTGTAAATTTAAAAACCTATTCCAATCAGGTACTATTTTATTGTAAAGGTTTAAATTCCCTTACGGTGTCTCTTTAAGGGTAAATCTCTCACCTGAGAGCCTTCAGGGCCAGAGACTTGCCCTGTATTTCATCTGTAAAGAATGTTATTTCTGAGCAGCGCTGTCCACTAGAAATATAATACTAGCCATAAATGTAATTGTAAATTTTCTAGTGGCCATATTTTTTTTAAAAAAGTAAAAGGAAACAGGTGAAATCAATTTGGATAATATATTTTATGTAAACCGCCATATCCAAAATATGATTTCAACATGCAGTCGACACAAGCAATTGTTAATGAGGAAGTTAACATTCTTTTATTTGTTCTACATTTTCAAAATCAGCGTGTATTTAACTCCCAGAGCGCATTTCAAGTGCTCACTCGGCACCCGTGGCCACTGGCTGCCCTGTTGGACTGAGCCTCGAGAGCAGGTGTTGGCTACCTCCAGCCTGAGGGCCAAATCTAGTCTGCTGCCTGTTTTTGTAAATAAAGTTTTCTTAGAACAGGCCATGCTCATTCAGTTACATGCTGTCTATGGCTTTTGTTGTGCAGAGGTGAGGAGTTCCAGCAAATATGATGTGGCCAGCAAAGCCTAAATAAAACATTTGCTATTTTGCCCTTTACAGAAAAAGTCGGCTGACTTCTGTTCTAGAAGATGTTTTTTTCTTTTTATCTTCTTCATTATAGTCATTGTCATTAAAAGCCTTTGCCAATGTGCTGATTCCACATAGTTCTACTCTGGGCTCCCAGCAGTGGCCAGGCCATCCCTCCCTGGCCGGCCCCTGCTCTCACCAACCTCTTACCCGAGGGTCCCAGCCCCGCTGACCCAGGTCCCAGCAGGAGCATCGTCCCAGGGGAAGCCCCCCATCATCCCCCCCCCCCCCCCGCCCCACATGCCCAGGTGTATTCTGGCCCCTGGGGCCACATTTAGCTGGGCGGGACCAGATGAGACAAACAGGACTCTTCTCCATTTGCATGGAACCTTCTCTTATTTTTTAGCACAAGAACAAGTCTTTGCAAGAGCTGCCCCCCCCCCCCCACTAGCCCAGCTTATCTCTTACCACTCTGTCCCCCCCATTGCCCATCCTGTCCCAGCGACACTCAACCTCTGTCTTATAATCCACGCTTGCTGGTCCTCCAGGACTTCCAACAAGCTCTGTGTTCATCCTGGCTTCTCCCCACCTCCACTCCTGCCTGACCAAGCTGATTCCAAAGATTCCAGGGAGCCTCTGCAACACCTGGACCAAACCAGGCCCTTTACCCTGCCATTCACCCCCAGCCCCTGTGCTTGTCCTGCACATTGATCATGACGCTTTGAGTTACACTGAGTGGCCAGATTATTATGACCACCCCAGCAGTACAATGAAGTGAATTAGTTATGCAAATAATAACAATAAAACCTTGAGAGTATTTGCTTAGGAAGTTTTCAATATTCAGTATTTTTGGAAGAGTCAATGAAGTACTGAGGGGGTGGTCATAATAATCTGGCCACTCAGTGTATAATTTCTTAATTACTTACCTGTCTGCCTTCCTGGTCTGTAAACTCCAAAATCCAAAAGGGAACTTACCTGTCTTGTCCACCCATCACAGTATCCCCAGCACCCAGCACCACACCTGACTTACTAGTATAGTAAGTACCCAGTAAATATGAACTGAATGAATGAGACACAGTACTGAGCAAAGGGAGTTTCTGGCATTGGCACTGAGGCTGGGTTCTGTCTCAGCACTGTCTAGAGTGAATTTGGCTAATCAGCTGAGAAAACCATCTTGACAGAGTGGGCTGGTCACGGCAGAAGCTTCCAGAACATCGCCCGCTAAGCATCCATTGTATTTTCCAGCCTGGCTCACTGCTGCAGTGTGTCAAGGAGCCATGTTTCTCTGGCCCCTCATCTGCTCAAGTAGGGGTGAGTGGTACCCCTACACCCACCCAAGACACAGGGCCAGACACACCCAAGGATGCCCCTTGTTAGTTAAGCTGGAGGTGGCTGTGTGCACATGTGTGTGCATGTGTACATGTCTGAGCGTGTGCATGCATGCATGGGGTGTGTGTGTGTGGAGGAGGGCAGTGTTCTGAGAGCCCACAGCCCCAGGAGAAAGGTGCCTCCATGCGCTCTTCTCAGTCAGCACTGCAGTGATTAGTGATCTCGGGTTATCAGTGCTTCCCGACCCTCTCACATCACCGCACCTGTAGGAAATGCTGAGACTTGGCGGGCACAGCTGAGTCCAGGGCTGGGCTGTCGGCGGCCTGTGCTGGGTAGCTTCCGTCCTCCCCTCCAGATCTTCTCTCTGCCCTCCCAGCCCTGCCCTGTGTCCTGGGAGGCTGCCCAGTATGAGCTGCATCAGCACAATACGGGCGCACTGCCTGCCTGTGGCATCCTGGGGCCTTTCCATCCTCGGCCTGTCGCCTGCTCGCAGACAACCTTGGCCGTGGTGGCAGTGGGAGACCGGACACGTTGGGATGCACACCCTGCACAGGGCCCATGGTTTTAAACAGTTTGTCCTTGTAAATCATGCTAAACAAATCACATTAAAAAAGTTTGTGGCGGATTAGCAAATGTCTAATGAATTCCAATCTGTGACATAATAGAGCTGGGTAAATATGTTTTAAGTAATCAGCACGGAAGATTACTGACGGAGAAGTGACTATTGAATCTCAATTAAAATTGTATTGTGAGAACTGTCACTTAAAATATTACTCTCACAGCCCAAGGAAAAGCGGCTTAAGCCCCGAGGTGGGAGGGGAGGAGGGGAGGGTGTGGCGGCTCATCACTGGTACCAATGGGCAGAGGCACTCTCTTCTGAGCAGGAACTTAAGCAAATGCTGGAAGGAGCAGCCTTGTAGGTGCTGGAGGAGCAGGAGGAGAGGTGGAGGGAGCTGGAGGGGCTGGTATCAGAACAAAGAGCCCGATCCAAGTGGCAGGAGGGCCACCGGAT